CCCTCTCATTAATTTTCCAAACATAAACAAAGTTTTCGGTGATTTGTTATATCCGCACTGATTTCAATAAACTTCTATCTATTTTCTCATTAGGCAAAAATAAATTAGTAAAAACAACCCTTTTGTGATCTATTCAGGACAAGGGATTACTAATTTAAATGTTTTAAATATAATTTATGTTTCTTTTTGGTGTGGCAAAAACCCAGTTATTAAAACGGTGGTATAAGCCAATATTTTAGGTGTACACAATATAATCTTACTGTCTTTGTGCTTTTTCCTTAACGCCTTAATATAGTTTAAACGAATCTTGAATTATATTGCACAATGTACTTTGGCCACTAATACACAATGCTCGCAATGTTCTGTGTATGTACATGGAACCGCCACAAACCCTTAAAGTCAAAGAGGATATAACTAAACTTAAATCTATCCAAAGCTGCTCACTGACAAAAAATTTTGTTTTTTTTTTCCAAAAATTTGGTATACAGATACCTACCTATATCTAGATTACATAGTAACCAAAGCATTTGCATTTACAAACATGGAAAAAATATCATCACCATCATAATAATCAAAAGACCATGCACTGATACATAAAAAAGTGGTCTCGATCAAAATTGAAAATTTCTGTGGATGCAAGCTATTTTTGGCCTTTGGAATAAAGTTACGATCATAAAAACCCCAGTAGGGTTTACATCTGTCTCTGATCTGTTTCACCGACCTGTTTTCCTCCATCTCCGTTTCTGAGGATGATAGACCCCACAAACATAATTATCACGTTACCTCGATCTTCTCCAGAGAGGATCGAGGTAGCCCCTTTTGAGGTTGGTTCTTGGCCACTGGGAGGGGGGATGGGTATTGGGGTGTGGATGGCGTAACAATATGATCGTGGGTTTTATTTGCCTTGAAAATGAGTCATGAAGTGATGAAGTAGATGTGACTGTTACAATAAGTTATATATGGGTTTAATCCCTATTCGGGGCAGTTTTTGAACGGTTTGGGGGCGGTTAAGGGTGCGGGTGGCGTGACAGTATTTTCGTGGGATTTACCTTCCTTGCAAATGGGTGATATAGCTATCTGCATTGCGTTTTTACTCCATCTATAACTATATACGTGTCTGAAATGCTAAAAAGGAGAGTAAAAGTGGTCAAACTCCGACAAACAAACAAATCATCTGCCGGGGTTTTTATGATCATAACTTTATTCCAGAGGTTAATAGTCCAGTTGGTTCAGGTTCGGCCTGTGTCAAACCTTGATAACCCGGAAATAACTACACAGGCCTACTTTAAATGATGAGTTAAATAACATGCTAATTTGCTGATAAATATTTAAAAAATGCTTAGGATATGATTTTGTTCGTAATAAAAATAGCTACAAAATGGCGGTGGTCCGATTACGAAATTTGCAATAACAAAGCCGTGAGATTGAAAAAAAACGGTATAAAACGTCAATTTTTTAAAGTTGCTGTAAAAATGTCAATTATAAACAAAAAGTGATAAACCTTTCGAAAACTATAGTTCAATATACATGGTGTTTCTTAATAACGTGCTAATATTTAAGGAGAATATTCTTGGGTCCATTTTAAGAAAAAAACTTCATATGAACATCTGTCCTAAAAGTCTTAGCTTTTGAACTACAGGGTGCTAAAGTTTTATGAAAAAACATTTTTTTATGATAACTTACCCTATTACCCTATTACCCTAGATATTTTTTCAAATTTGGTACATGCCTTCTATTCATCAAGATGCATTTTCTGATGTACAAACAATTTTATTATTTTTGCCAGTGGCGTGTGTACAGTTTTTGTATTGAATATTTTTGAAGAAAAATATGTTACGCCAGGATATATTTTCTTTTACCATTCCAAAATGTATGTAGATTACTGTAATTTCTTAATTTCAACGTTTAAAAGTTATTATCTTAAATAAATTATTGTTCAAAGTTTCATAAATCTTTTTTTACTCGTAAGTGGTCCAATAAGATGCAAATGAATGAATTTTATTTTTTTATGCAAAAACCGTACCTCAAACGAAAAAAATTCAAGATACCACATTTGCTCAGAAAGGAATGAGGATTTCAAAAATGATTTTTACTTTAAGAAAAAGCAGTGGCGTAACATATTTTTCTTCAAAAATATTCAATACAAACCCTGTACAGACGCCATTGGCAAAAATAATAAAATTGCTTGTACATCAGAAAATGCATCTTGATGAATAGAAGGCGTTTACCAAATTTGAAAAAATATCTACTGTAGGTAATACCAAAGTTACATACTGTTGCATATTTCTAATAGTATACAAGCGCCGAAGAGCGAAGCTCGCGCTCGAAAATGAAAAGTTAGAGGTTTACCCCACACGTACGATTTACGTTTTATGTTGATATGTTGAATAATGTACGACTACGGTTAACAGGCGCAAAATGTTAAGTAGCTTAGGATCTAAACAATGAAAATTATTATTTTTCTAATTGTAGGTAATTGTGCTGGTAAATCTACCGTGATGGAATATTTTATAAATATACATGTATATTTTTCCAAAAATTAAAAAAACGGTGTCGTATAAAATTAGGGTGATGTATAAAACCTTACCAAAGCTATAAAAATGAAGATAATTGAATTTTGCAAATTGCTTTTGGTTTCTGCATATTTACACTATTTGTATACCAAATTTCAAGTGTCAGCAAAGCTTCGAACAAAGGCAAAGTTTCGAGTTTCAGATGCCGATGAATGTATAACACCTTATAGAACAAAAAGTTTTGCTCTCCTGATTTTCGGCTTTAGCGTCATTATTGTATATATATTGAACTATAGTTTTCGAAAGTTTTATCACTTTTTGTTTATAATTGACATTTTTACAGCAACTTTAAAAAATTGACGTTTTATACCGTTTTTTCAATCTCACGGCTTTGTTATTGCAAATTTCGTAATCGGACCACCGCCATTTTGTAGCTATTTTGATTACAAACAAAATCATGTCCTAAGCATTTTTTCGTACAAAGTTATCCCGCTGAGTTATTTAAAGAAAACTACTAAAAAAATTTTTTTTCACGATTAAATTGTTAACTTTTTTTCTTGATAAAATACTTTGTCAGCAAATTAGCCTGTTATTGTACTCATTATTTAAAGTATTCCTGTGCAGTTCTCTCTCCGAGTTATCAAGGAAATGTCACCAACAGTAACTTTTCGGCCTCTGCCGACTGGAGTATAAAAATAACTCGTATTCATAGAAAGAGACCACTTTTTAAAATAATTAGTGCGTGGTCCTTTGCTCATTCATATTTTTTGGGCAGGTGACTTTATAACTTCAGATCTTATTTTGTCATAAATATAAGGGCTTTCTACAAATATTTGATCTCTAATACATTTTTGGTATCCCAACTATTTTGGCATAAGTAGTTATGGTATTAATCATCACCAATATATTTTCGATCAAATCTAATTTAATTATCATCATATGCTTGATCTATTTGCTAATAAAAACAAAATAATGCTTTGTGGAAATCAGAAACTTGTATTTGAATGTTCTTTCATGAAAATTATTCAAAATAATCGCTATTTTTAATAACACATTCAGTAAAAAAAAATGAATTGCACTCATCTCAGTTATCTCTCATTCCGTATATTGTTGCTGTCAAATTTGACTATCTGACATTACTCTTATTTATTAATATATGAATGAATTCAACAAGAAATCTACTAATCATGATTTAAGGGAATTTCTTAAGTATTCCGAAATTCTTTGGAGAATATTCTTCACATTATTTTGTGGAAAAAAATTCATATTAACATATGTCCAAAATACAGGTGATTTATTTCTTTATTATTATTAATGGAATGTTTTGTTTCTCTGAAACTTTGGACCGCCTATTAGAGGATATGTTTTAATATTAAATAAAATTTGATCACCTCACCAAGGGCGTGCATATTGGCAACAGTATCCAATTATTTTAAAAAACCCACTGATATTTTAAATTTTTTGAGTATTTTTTATAATCTTTTCCATCTTTTCATTATTTGAAGCTTAGTTCTGGAGAAAATACTATTTTATTAAAAATAATACAAAAATGTATAATCGACGAATTAATAGAACAGCATTTTTTTCCAGAACCAGGCTTCAAATATAAAAATGGTAGGCGAGATTTTATGTCAGTTGTGAACGAGGAACAAAAAAAAAACATAAAATATACTAATTTTTAAGTAAATATCCACACGTACGCCACTGGTTTTTTTGGACATTTCTTTTTTCATAAAATGATTTAAAGAATCGCCGTTTCAAATATTTTACATTACTTAGGAAACACCCTTATTTAATGTGTTACTGAAAATGGTGACCATTCCAAATAATTTTCAAGAAAGAACATAAAAGCTCAAGCAGCAAGCTCCTGAGCTCTATAAAGACTGCATCAATTTTATTGTCACAGTTATGAAATTTATTGAAAATGCGTTGGTAATGACTGAAATAATTAACAACGCGAAAATCATTAGAAAAATAAGTGAGGAAAAGCTGGGAGAAAATGCGTTTTAGAGTTATGTATTTGGAAAAAACTAAAACATTTTGCCAACCTTAACGCCTCCTTGCGAAGCAATTTCGGATATGTGTAAGTTTAGTTAAATTATCTAATTTTGATCGAAATAATCTCTAATAACTCCATGTATACAGAATATTGGAATATCCCTGTATCAATAAAATCTAACCTTCATTAATTCCTAGTTCTTTCACCTGCACTGTGGTTGAAACTTAAAACCACTCACCAATTTATTCATTCAACTGTCACAAATTTCTGTGATAATTTATACATCTTTACTTGTACCTGTACACTTAGAAAAAAAATATATTCTAAAATTGTGGTAATACATTTATTGTAAAACAATCCGCACAAAACACATTTTCACTGCCACTCCATTCTGTATTACATCTGGTAGTCTCGCTTGCTTCCGTTTATGTGTGGTGTAATGTATCCGAAGAGGTGCCTATTATATCCTACAAAAGAATTTTCTCTAGGAAAGGGACGATGGGATCCTGAGTAATTTCCTTAATGCCATCAAAGACGTCGGACCGGAGGGACAGGAATTTTTGAAAACAATTGAACGGTCCCATGACGTTACCTTATTTGCTCCATGCAACAAAGCTCTCGAGGACGATTTGAAACAGAACGCCATCCTTGCAGACCCTAGGAAGTTTATGGAATTGGTGAAGATGCATCTGATTGTCGACGACAGGCTCTACATAAACAAGATTGTAGACAAAAACATTCACAAGGTCAGTGTCTAACCATACAGGATGGTTGATTTCCTTCTAGGTAAAGTGAAATATGAAGTTTATAAGTAATTATCAATTTTCGAAATATTGTGTATTCTGTTCTTTACTGTAATCTATAGTTATATTTTAGTGAAACTAAAAACAAATAAAAACATCTCTATGTCTCAAAATTGACACAGGGGTAAGACACATAGAACATGAAGAATAGAAACTTTTCTGATTGACCTTCCTTATAGATTTAAAAAAACTCCAATGCATCAAAAACCTTTTTAAAAATAAATAATGTTAGAAAATAAGATATTCTCCGCATATGTCGCAAAGTATGTTCAAATGGACCTCTCCTACGCTAAGGTAAACATTAGCTTGAAGTATCATAGAATTATTAACGCAACAACAGCGTGAATACCAATCTTTATTAACTTGTTCTTTCAAATAATCCGAAATAAAATGTCCGCGAGATCAAGATCAAATCAAGAGTATCGATCCACCAGTTTCAACCTAGTCCTAGGAAAATTTTTCGTTGAAGAAATTTCATACTTGTATTTCTTAATGATCTGAATAAAAAATGTCTCGGGAGATGAACTGGAAGAACCCATACGATGGCCTTCTAGGCCTCCAGATCTGAATTCAGAGCAGCACTGTATCGAATCTGATTCAAAACGTATATTTTTAAATCATAAAACATGTTTCAATTGTCGATATACTATATTAATATTAATTTAAGAAAACGTAAAACAGGTACTTTTTACTGTCTTCGAGGATCATGAATTTTTCAAAAACAATCAGATTTATCTAAATTAAAAAAGTGTCTAAATATTTAGACACTAGATAAACATTTATCTCTATTATTATACAGGGTGTCCCTAAAGAGGATGGACAACGCTTGACCATAGGTTCCTTGGATGAAAACAAGACTATTTAGCCTAACTTACCTATATACAAAAGTGCACGCCTACTGAGATATAGCCTTCTAAATATAGAACAGATAACCTAGTTTTTTTCAAGTAATTTGAAAACTGTTTTTCTTAGAAACTTCAAATTTGGTACACATATTTTTTTATATAAGGGCAAGGTAAATATAGAATTTGGAGAGAATACATATACAGGATGTTCTATATCTAGTGCCTGTGCGCCACTGGCTATCCCGTAACTTTTTTTTGTGTTTATGCCAATGACGACAGAATTTATATTTTTAAAAATAAGCACTATTTTGGAAGTTTTTTTTGCTCTTACAAATTTTGATATCGTTTATGGATTTCGAGTAAAATTGGCATTTTTTACACATTAAATAATATAAAATCAGTTTAAGATAAACAGAACATTCTAGTACTCGCCATATAACAGAGAAAAAAATTCATAACAATAATTAAAAGGTTCTGTGTCAAGCTAGCTGTAATTTAATTTTAAATTATTTTGTTTTTTATTACAATTTATACTTTTGCTGAACAAACTTATATGTTAGTAGTTTTGGGTTATTGTGAAGGAAATTATTGTGCTACTGTTCGAACATATGCTGAAAGATTTTCTAATCGAAGAAATCCAAATCGCAAAACATTTGCTAATGCGGAGAGACGCCTTCGGGAAACAGGACTTTTTTACCTGTAACATTAAATCGTTGATAATGTACGGCCGGAATTATTCAGCTGGAGGAACAAATTTTGGAAAGGGTCGAAGAAATTCCTCAAGTAAATAAAAGGCGTTTAGCGGCAGAGGTTGGCTTTCAAAAAGTTCCTTTAATAGAGTATTAAAAGACCAGTTATTACAGGTTACAGGTATTACAGGGTACAGGTAGGTATTACAGGTTATTAAAGGTCTAACAGGTGGATAGGTAGAGGAAATAATGCCCCTTTAAAATGGCCACCTCGATCCCCGGACCTAAACCCATGTAATTATTTCATTTGGGGAGCGTTGAGGACCACAGTTTAAAATAACTTTTCAGTAAATACAGAAAACGAATATGGGAAAGAATACAACATGAAATTAATGTTATGAGAGGTAATGCACAATTATTGGATAATTTCTAATTTTCGAAGAACTAATGTTTGCGTTTAAGAACTAGAAGGTAACTTTGAGCAGTTACTGTAATATTATTTTAATGTGATTACAAATATCAGTTAATTTAAAATGTTAATGTTGACTTTCTTACATTATTAGTTGATATTGTTTATTTAAAATATTAGTGTTGATTTTTATTTTATTGATTGATAATACTAATACCAAGAATGTGTAGTTATTTTTTTTAAATGTGACGTTTTTTCATTATTATTCCCTGCTTTGAGGCTGCAGTTATAAATTATTTTTTATAAATCGGAATTTTTGCCTATATTTAGTATAAAAAATGCGAATTTTATTCGAAATCCATAAACGATATCGAAATTTTGTAAGAGCAAAAAAAACTTCCAAAATAGTGCTTATTTTTAAAAATATAAATTCTGTCGTCATTGGCATAAACACAAAAAAGTTACGGGATAGCCAGTGGCGCACAGGCACTAGATATAGAACATCCTGTATATGTATTCTCTCCAAATTCTATATTTACCTTGCCCTTATATAAAAAAATAAGTGTACCAAATTTGCAGTTTCTAAGAAAAACAGTTTTCAAATTATTTGAAAAAAACTAGGTTATCTGTTCTATATTTAGAAGGCTATATCTCAGTAGGCGTGCACTTTTGTATATAGGTAAGTTAGGCTAAATAGTCTTATTTTCATCCAAGGAACCTGTGGTTCTTGGATGAAAATAATCCTTTTCAGGGACACCCTGTATATTTTCATAAAAAGTGTATATGAAAAAAAACGCCCTAATTTTTTTATCTTGAAAGTATCGGGAGATAATTTAAAATCATCCTAATATAGTAAACTACAATAAAAACAAGTAAATAAACATCAAGAGAATTTATTATTGCCAAAATATGTTTACTAATGTTTTTCAGATTATAGGCATCCAAGATAATTTTTTTATCAAACTTTGACTACATCATTTTCAAAAATCGACGTATTGTACTGAAATTCGGAAAGTAAGTTTTTGAAGTTACTAAATACCTTTACGTCTAATACGTTCTGTGGTCAAATAGTATGATTACTAGCAACGAAAAAATATCTCGGTCATCTGAAATAAATATACAGGGTGAGTCAGAAAGAATGGGTCAACACTAAACTGGAAATAATAGACACCAAAATATTATGTTTGAGCTCATCATGCCTTATACGAATGTCGCTGGTTTAAGAAATACAGGGTGTTCAAGGTTTCAATTTTATTCAGAAATTTCTCAATAACTGAGAAAGTTTTGATAGCATGACTATGAAACTTGTAGTGTTGGGTCTTTTGGTGTGAGAATTACGAATTTGAAGCTTATTTTGACGTTGCTCCTAGAGGGCGCTAGTTTCACCATATTATTTAGGTAAATCGGAACATATTTGTTGAGCTATGCTTTAAAAATCTAAAAGAACGTTCAATTCTACATAAAAAGTGTACTCTTGTTTAGGTTGCCTAATTTTATCGGTTTCTGTTATTTGCATTTAAAATGTATTTTGTGGTGATTTTCTTTCAGGCGCTGATATTACTATTTCTTTTCTATGTAGGCTTGTGTCAAATTTTCTTGTCAATAAGTATTAACGTATTTTGCGTGCTTATTATTTATTATTCGTACAAAATTATTAGTTAGTGATCAAAAAATGCCACGACATAATATAATAATTTTTCCAACAATGAGATGCATGAAATGATTTATGTTTTTGCTCAGGCTAATTTTAATGAACATGCGGCTCGCGGCGCGGCGGCCCGAAAATATGTGCAATTGTACCCAAATAGATTACCTAATTATAAACTATTCAAAAATCTTTACAATCGCTTAGGCGGATCTGGATCTTGTCGACCAAAAAGTAACCATGGTACTCCAAAATCTATCACAGTCGATGGAGAGAAAATTTTACTACTCGTACTCGTCGGTTAAGTGCGGCAACGGAAGTAAGCCAATCGTCCATTTGTAGAATTTTGAAAAAAGGAATGCTCCATCCATGTCATTATACTCCGGTTCAGCAGTTATTGCCTCAAGATTTACCAGCTCGCCTACAATTTGTTCAGTTTATACAAAATATGCAAACGAAAAACCCAAATTTCCTCAATAAGATTTTATTTACTGATGAGACGACATTTACTAGACGAGGAGTTTTCAATTGGAAGAACAATCATTTGTGAGATTCCGCATGCTATAAAAGACATTTTCAGCATGAGTTCAAGGTGAATATTTGGTGTGGTTTAATTTCTGGTTTTTTCATAAGACATTTTGAATTGCCACCCAATCTAACTGGACTTATTATTTAAACTTTCTTCAACACAATTTAAACGAGCTTCTAGATGATGTACCACTCGCTTTAAGAGAGAGTATGTGGTTTATGCAGGACGGTGCACCACCACATTTTGCCTTGCCAGTACGCCAGTATTTAAATGAACATTTTCCTCATCGGTGGATTGGCCGTGGCAATGAGTTTAGTTGGCCACCAAGAGGTCCAGACTTAAACCCTCTGGACTTCTCAGTGTGGTCAAACTTGAAGGAAGTGGTGTATTGTGAAGAAATTAGTTCTGTTGAGGAGTTGCGGCACAAAATAGTGCATTTAAAAATAATAGGGACATTTTGTTTAATAGAGACATTTAAGAGTGTATAATAAAATATATTGAGGTAGATGGTGGACACTTCCAGCATTTGATTTACGGTTTGTTATTATTACTATTATCAATAATTGTTATTGTTATTTTCATCTTTTGAGAATTAAAAAATCACCACAAAATACATTGAAACTTTTAAATGTAAATAACTCACAAAACCGATAAAGTTAGGCGACTTAAAAAAGAGTATATTTTTTATGTAGAATTGAACGTTCTTTTAGATTTTTAGTTTGGTTGTTACAGTAAAGCAGTGGCGTACCATTTTATTTAGAAAAATATGCCATCGATACCGCCACTGCAGCATGTAAATTTTAGGAAAAACTCTCAAATTTTGGAC